GAAGCCTGCTTCTCCCTCTCCCACTCCCCCTGCTTGTGTTTCCCTCTCTCGCTGTGTCTCTCTCTGTCAAATAAATAAAATCTTAAAAAAAAAAAAGATTGGGGGGAAAAAAAAAAAAGAGTCCAGTGCTCCCCCTTGACCTTTTCTAACCTAGAACCGGCAGTACCCACCAAAAGGTACATCTCCTTCATGTCAGAGAGGCAGCCTCCAGCCTTAGCCTAGCCCTACTCTCTCTGAGTCAAGCCCTATTAGGATAGGGTGAGGCCACTCAGGCAAATAAGACTTTGTACACAAGGGATCAGCAACTAAGTCAACAAAATATGAAAATTTTCTGTCTTGACCTTCTGTCTTTAGGTCAGACTGACCAACTCACATACCAGCCAGCAAATAATCTTCATTTAAATTTTAACGTCACTTTAATGGGAATTGCTTGAACCTATTCTCTTTTCCCCTTCTTACACTTCACTCACTACTCTTTCCCTACACACATCTACTTTGTTGACCACACGCTATATGCCCCAGGGCTGTGAAATAGAGGTAGGCTCTTTACATCCTAAGAATGGTTTGGAATTGACACGTTTTGTCTATTCTTCAGCTATTTAGCTAATATGCACAGTTCCACACAAGTCTTACTATCTTTCCCCCTGAATGTAAGAACATGAAAATTAGTGTTGTCATCACCCCAACTGACATGCTATTGTCCAGTATTTTCATTCCAGTCCATAACCCCCCTCACAAATTACATACTGCTCTAAGTTAATGCTTTCTTACTTTTACCAACATTTACCAGTCTTTGTTTAGTGTCCTTTCTTGAATCTGGTTTGCCATTTGAGATCATTTTCCTTCTGCCTCAAAAACATCCTGTAGATTGTACCTTTTCTCAGAGGCAAACCCTGCCTTTGTCCGAAAATGTTCTTAGTTTAGCCCCCAAGTGTCATTTTCCATGATAACAGTTTTGTTCTCAACAGGATGAATGGTAAAATTCCAGGTTTCTGGCTTTCATTGTTGACGCTGTGAGAAGTTACCTATCGGGCTATTTTCTACAGTTAGTTTTCCCTCTAGCTGCTCAAGATTCTAAGTCTTCTCCATTTCACCCTTTCTCTAGAAATGAATTGCTTTTTTTTGTCTTGCCTGGAATTCATTGGGATTCCTAAATCTGAGGTCTGGTGCCTTTCACCAAATCTGAATAATCAGCCATCCTGTCTTTGGATATTGCCCCTTCTCCCTATAATTTCCTCCTGAAGCTTCAGATACTGTGCATTAAATCTTATTCTCTTGTCCCAACCTCAACATCATTGCTATTTTCCCTTCTTCCTTCTTCTTTCTTATGTGTAGTTCATTCTGGATAATTTGTTGAGAACTATATTCCATTTCACTAGTGGCCCTTCAACTTCTCCAACGTATTTCATCTAAGTTTTTAGTTCAACTTTGTCTTTTTCCTAATTGGAAACGACTTTTTTCAAATCTGGATTGTTGTCCTCTCTTATTTTCAAACTTTATAATCAAATGGTATTTCATTACAATCTGTGTGACAATGCCAACATCTCAAGTATTTAAGGATCAGCTTCTGTTTCTTTCTGTCCACCCTTTTCACTCATTGGGCCTTATTTCTTTGTGCATCACCATATTGGAGCAGGACTGCTCATTTGCCTTAGGAGTATCTCTATGGAACTAAAGCATTACAGGGATTGGATTTGCTTCTGGAAATCACCTGGAGGCATGACCAACTAAGTGCCACTTTAAATTCCCCACTCACAATTTTTTTGGACCACACAGGCAGTGCACAAAAATTTCTACTGAAAACCCAGAGAGGGCCATCTTGTGGTTATGAATTCTCAGGGAAGATATTGTACATCTTTTTCCTCCCACCTAGCACCATGGTTGAGACAAGTACATTCCTTGCTGCTCCCTTCTATACAGTTCTTGTTTACCCTGACACTGAGGGTATTCCAGCTTTACCTGGAGTCACCTGCAAAACTCATTTCCTGTTTCCCATACCCTGTATAGTCACTAAAATAGATGCTTAAAGTCTGCTGAGTTTTGCAAAAACTCTGGGTAAAAGCTAGCTTTTAGCAATTGCTTACTTCTTAGGATTCCAGTTTTCATTTCATTTTGAAGATTCATAGATTCCTTATTTTTATGCTTGTTCATCAATGTGTTCATAAGTATTATTTATAAATACATTTACCCAGCATCTTGCTTGTTTCTGCTGAAATGACATTTCAGATTATCTAATCCACCAAATGCCAACAGAAGCCTGAGCTAGTCCCAGCTATATGCACTACACTCCGCCCACCCTTGCTTCTGACAAGAGCAGGTTATAAAAAGCCCTAGAGTCCAAAGTTCATAAAACACCAATGCTAACCTTGCCTTGCCTTGCCTTAAATGTGGGGGAAAAAAGGCGGGAAGACAAGAGCAGAGTAGGTGGCTCGCACAACTTCACCACAGATAACCCATACTTTTCCTCAGGCACAACCACCTTAGGGCATTCAGACTGTGCCCATTGACACTAGAGTATCTGAGGGAAGACAGCAAGATAGTATTCCCTTCTACATCCTCACTGGAAGAACCTGTCCTTTTCAACAACAGAGATGTATATAGAGACAAATGCAGCACTTTTTCCTAGCTAAAAATAAAACACCATGCTTACAATAATGTTTATGGCTCTTACAATGTATACTAACAAGTTTAAACCTCTTGACTCAGTCCACCTGTGGATAGCTGGTCCTGGTCACTTCAGACCACATGAAGAGGAGGAAAAACTAAGTCAGGATTATGATAATGCAGACAGACCAAAATGATTATTTTCATGCTTTCCCTACCTCACTTTTTCCAGCTTTCTCTCATCCATGCCTGCCTCTAACTTCCAGGTGGGTCAGCTGAATAACTAACACTTCGACTGTCAGACAACAGGAAAGTTGGAAGTCATAGGTGATGTGTAAAAGAAATCCCCTCCGGGCACCTGGGTGGCTCAGTTGGTTAAGCGACTGCCTTCGGCTCAGGTCATGATCCTGGAGTCCCTGGATCGAGTCCAGCATCGGGCTCCCTGCTCGGCAGGGAGTCTGCTTCTCCCTCTGACCCTCCCCCCTCTCATGTGCTCTCTCGCATTCTCTCTCTCTCAAATAAATAAATAAAATCTTTAAAAAAAAAAAAAATCCTCTCCTACAACATCTTTTCTTACTTTTTTTCCTGCTTTCTTAAGGTAGCCTGTCTTTCAGGAGTGATTTTAGTTTCCAAACACACCTCCCTGGCTTTGGCCAATGGGGCCACATGCTCTGTCTTTGGATATTCATGCTCCCCAGTCCAGGTACCCTTTGTAGCCAAAAGTGACACACTCGTCAAAGTCAGCAGCTCCAGAAGATTCTCTCTGCATTACCGGGCCCCCTATCAAGGACTAGCCTCACCTCTCAGCAGCCTAGACATTATCTGTAGGACACGATGTTTAGACATTATCTGTAGGACACGATTTGTTAAGAAGTCTTTCCTACCTTTACACCAGCCTATCACTATTATCTCAAATTCGAGACTATAAGCAATTCATTCCTTTGAAATGAAGTTTTCCCTATGAATTCTCCCTTACTATGATTATCATCACACCCACCACGGAACTAGTAATAGTGCCAGTGGAGTTGGAGACAGTCACCCCGGATTCCAGTTTGAGGCTAGAACCTTAAGCAAGTCATTAACCAGATCAGGGTCTCAGTTGCAATTAACTGACCACAGGCATCAGAATAACCTAGATGACTTATCAAGATTTCAGATTCCTGAGTCGCTTTTATTCAGTTTTTGGAAATCGAACACAGGGATCTGCATTTTTCAAGCTTCCCAGGTAATTCTTGTGCACTTGTTCAGATCCAGAAGGTGAGGTCTAGTTGGTCTGTTAAGTTTATCCATGGAAATACCAAGATGAATCTCTACTATCCTATACTTCAGATAAAAAGACAAAATTGAGAAATAATGATCTAGAAAGGCTGGTTAGTCCTTAGTTCTTCCTGGGGGAGATATTTCCACTTTGTAACAAAGTACTTTAAGTTCAGCAAGAAAGAACAAGTGTCCAGAGTGAGGTCATAGCTTTGAGCTGCCAGAAAGCATGTCACAGAAGGACCCATTAGAGCTATTTCACAAACATGTTTAAAAAAAAAAAAAAAAAAAAGGCCTCACTAAGATAGAAGAGTGGTGGAGCATCATCTATAACCACTCCCAGAAAACAACTCAGGCTCTAAAGGATCAAGGAGTACACCAGCAAATCTTGACAAAATCCACAGGATTCCTAAAGTTGGTCTTAGCAGGAGATACCAATAGGCTTCAAAAGCATTTCTAAATTAGTGTCAGGACACTTAAGAGATATAGGGGATTTACAGATCATTCTGTTTAACACCTTATTTTAGGTAGGGGCAGAGAGGAGAAATGTTTTTTAAAAGACCACAAATCAGGGAACCTGGCTGGCTCAGTTGGTGGAGCAAGCGACTCTTGATCTTGGAGTCGTAAGTTTAAGCCCCATGTTGGGTTAGAGCTTAAAAAAATTAAAAACCACAGATCTTAACCACATGGGATTCTCACGGATTGTAAAGAGAAAGTGTCCATCTGTTTCATTCTCTAACCCTAACATCCACAACACCTAGCACATGGAAGATGCTCAGTAAATGTTTATTCAATGAGATGAAACAAATGGACCAACCCAGGGAGGGGGGAGAAGAGTAAGATTTGTTTATAGCTCATTATCAGTGGATAATAAATATAACAGAAATAAAGACTATTCACCATTAGTCCGGTTTTTCCACAAAGCTAGAAAACCATCTCAAGTGAAGCTACCAAACCTCTTTGGAAAGCAAACTCTGATAGCTTCTTGGCGCTGTGATTCATCCTTCTAGTCTGAAACTACAACTGTTAGACAAAAGCTTTAAAAGAGACCAGCTACAGTGCTTAGATTTTCTCACTAGCCCAAGAAAGTTTTCATACCCAAGACCTAGTTCAAACAAAATTGAGACATGACCATCATCATCAGAAGCTATAGATTTTTAATCTAAAGATTGGGCATACAGCAAACATTTTACATAAATTCTCGAGTTTTTTAATTATATAACAGGAAATAGGGGCCCCAGAAAAATAAGTCTCTTTCCACAGGTCTTAATCCTTGGCCTCTGCAGTCAAGACAATCCCTAGCAACCCAACAAGTGTTTGCTACCCATCCACATGTTATTTGGTAGGACACAACAGCAGCTATAGGTCTGTCCCTTGTCTTCTTACTGAAGGATTACGGATAGCCTGAAAAGCAACATTTTGGCCCAGTATTCAGTACTTATGTACATGAGCCTTTTAATTACACATTTTCTTATTATAGGAGGGCAGTTGGAGTTGGTAGCTTCTAACCTTCTAGTCATAAATGTTGAATGTTCAAGAGGGCCATGTATTGCAATGGGCTTTGTTCAACATTCATTTTATCAAATGTTGCAAAAGAATTCCAGTGACTAAGAAAGTCATTAATTCCTTATACTTCAGTTTCCTATCTCTAAGTTAGCATTAAGTTTCCTGTGCTCTACTTAGCCATATTTAATTTTTAAGAATCTTAAGAGGAAAAACGTTTCACATGTAATTAAAAAGGACGTTGCTTGGTAAGAGTTGGGACTGAGCTCACAATAAATCCATCCTGGTACAACCCCCTTCTGGCTGCTCTGGAGAGAAGAAGGACACGGATACACATAAGGAAGTAACCAAGATGAAAAGGAGAGATGAGATACAGCTTAAAGTGAAGAAATGACACAGACCCCCCACATACACACTTTAAAAACTTTATTTATATAAAAAACTCATTTGTTTTTAAAAGCATTAACAAGAGAGAAAGAAAAACAGGAAAGGTATGGAGCAGAAGACATGCCCCTTAGTAGTGTTCGGTGGGGAGGTGGGATTTTTGGTTCTCTGGAATTGAATGTTTAGTGTTTTTATAAACAAAAAAGAAAAAAATAGTTAAAGGTCCCCAAAAGCCCATGGCTGTTCTATTACCCACACCCCACCGAGAAAAAGAGCACCAGGAATAGAGCAGAAGAGGACAAGAGAAACCAAGAGTGGAGCCAGGTCCAGATGGGGGCAATTTCCCCTGTGCAGTATGTTCTTAGGGTCAAAGAGGGGGAGAGGCTCCTTTTTGCCAGAAAAGGAGTGGGAAGAAATTGGAGGGGGAAAAAGGGTAAATCAGGGATTCTAATGCATAGAGGAAGGGAAGGGGGGGTGGTGGGTTGTGCACTTTTCTCCTACCCCATAGCCTCAATATATAAGGGGAGGTGGGGAGAGAAGGATAAAGATTTCCAGTTGCATTGAACAGAGCTTTTAGATTAAGGGGAGGAGTAAAAGGCAAAAAAGGAGAAGGGTTAAAAAAAAAAAAAAAAACCCAACCAGCATAGCAGCTGATTCCTCTAGCCCAACCCACTAATAAACAGTAAACTGAAAGGAGGAGGTGGTACTGGGGTGGGAGGGTGGGGGAGGCAGGGAGGGAGGGCACAGAAGTGACTTCCCTCCAGCCACTTCAGAGATGGACAGTAAATTCTGGGCAACTAAGGAGAAAGAGCCGCACCACTCACTCCTCCCACATTTTGAGATTCATCAGAACAGGATCTTTACAAAATCCCAACCATATACTATCGAGCAAAAGCTGAATGGCTGAAATCAGAGGCTCTACCAATTCCGAAAGGAGAATCTGAGGCTCTCTAGGTCACCTCTCCTTTCTGCTATTTAGGGCCAAGAAAGCAACAAAATATAATTTGCAAAATCATGAAAATGAGACCGCAGAGGCAAAGAAAGGCACATGGAAGGGAAGGAGGAGATGCACCCCAGGCCAAAGGCACAAAGAGGAGGCAAAACCAGGGGCGATCCCCACCTTTTAAGGGTAAAAGGGGCAGGAGTATGTACATCAAGTCCTTTTGTCAGCCAACCAATCCAGGGAAGAGGCAGGGGAGGGCAGGGCTATGAGGGTAGGAAAAGGAGACATAAGGGGCGGGGGGAAGCCAGCTTCAAAGCTTCCTGCCAGTTTCAGACTAACTGATTCATGTACATTCCTACTAGCTCCTCCTAGAGGTTCTTCTCCTCCCCAGAAGACATCTTTCTGCTCCTTCTCACCCAGAAAGTCTTCCTTGATACATTCTTCTCTTTCTACAGCCTCTTGCAAATGGCCAGGCCAAGTCAGCAGACATTATCACAGGATGGGAGAGGAAGATTAAGGACAGCCTCAGTAAGGGGCAATGGCAGCAGCCCAGGGTTGGCATGAGGCTTGGAGAAGAGATGGAGTCTGTAGGTCCGTGATGGTCCCTGCCCTGGAGATGAGGAGAGCAAGGTTTCTTAATCTCAGTTCTAGGAGAACTTCACTTACTCAAGGGCCCTTGCCAGGTGGAATGTGCCAATGTTGCCAGCCTTCTTTGATTAAAAAATAGTCATCAGGGATAAGGGAAGAGCTCACACTTCCCATTCTCCAAAAAAATAAAAGTCCCTTCCCCACCAGGAAAAAAAAAAATCTTGATTAAGAATCATCAGTTTGTATCAGAGTGCTGGATACTGCATATGCAGCATGTAACTTCCAATTCTTCCCATGGCTTCCAGTGAGGACTCCCACTCGCTCCCCCCCCCTCCATACAAGGCCAAGAGTTCCAGGGAGAACTGGTAAAAAGAGCTAATCTGCAGCAGTTTCTCGAGATATGCATATAACTGAGCCAGGCTTCTTGGGAGCAACTGCAGGGGATCTGGAGGGGGGAGGAGGGACAATTAAGCTTCACTGGAAGAAGTTAGGAGTTGGTGGAAAGAAGGCGGCCACTTAGGGCTATAAGGGCAGGAGGCAGCCTGGCAGTTGGCACGATAGTCCAGCGAAGAAAGGGAAAAATCATCAGTCCATTTCACCACCAAAAAATAAAAGTACATATATTATAAGCTCAGATGTAGCGGAGATAGTGGTGCTAAATCTTCTGCTGTAGGGAAAAAAGAGAGAAAGATGTTAATAGGGTTGGGAATGAGGAGAACCAAATGACAGTTGAGCAAATCTGGAGGGAGGAAAGTAGCACATAATGAAGAATCAGATCACCAGGGGCATGTCCCAGCCTCGTAGGAGGCAACAATCACAGAAGCAGCACCCCCCAAGCTCCAAGTGGCTGAGACTAGGGTCTCTGGCCTGATCAGATCAGCATGATTGGCAAACTGCTGGCACACAGGGGCCTCCTTCCTCAAGACGATCTTGGGGGTGGCTGGAGGACATACCATGGAGGGGTTAGACACTTGGTCCCCCTCATCATCCAAAACCAACACATCCAACTCTTCCTCCAGAGATTCCTGCCCCTCGTCCTGCTGTGAACACATGCAATTTGTTAGTATGAGAGTAGGGAAATAGAAACCTCGTGAGTTGTGCCAGATCTAAGGAAAAATCCCACAATTGGTCAACTCAAACAAAACAAGAGACTAGTAAGAAAAGGGCAAGATATTCGAGAAAAGGCAGGGAGAAGAAGAGAGTAATGTATGAAAACAGATCAATTAGCATTAGTCACATCACCAACACATTTATCGTCTTCCTTCCCTTAACCTGACCATTGCAGAATTATGACCCAAGAAATCCCAACGTGAGCAAAACTCCTACTTTACCTGAAAATCCCTACCAGGAAAGGATACTGTCTCTCAAGGTACCTTTTTTTCCTATTTCACAAAACATGGAGGTTTCAAAACAGAACTAGCCTTAGAAGGACAACAGTATATAAAAGAGAATTTACCATCAGAGGTGTTCCCTTCAATGGCTCCATTTCACCTAGATCCCCGGATCGATCCAGTGTTCTGTTGTGGTCCCCTCTCTCGTTCAGTGTAGAATAGTTGTTATCTAGTGAAAAAAGTACAACAGGATATTCCCTCTGGTGTATATATACAATATATATTAAGCAGAGAAGTGTGAATTAGGCACCCCTGTTGGGAAGTAAACTTTGTCAAATGTTCCAGAAAGGCATTAAGGTCTGGTCCTTGACTTAAGGTCCCAGGCTTAAAAAGAACTTGTAGGACATAGGATAATGGAGCTAAACAGAAGCAAGCTGTCTATAAATGGTAGTGGAATTAAGGAGAGAGAGTGAGGTGCGCTGCCAACAGTCAGGAAGGACCTAACAAAGGAGACACAACTTAGTTAAGCCTTTGGGGCTGAAGAAAATCTAGCAAAGCAAAGGGGAAGGGCATTCCAGTAGGAGGTATTACCTGAGCAAAATCTAAAAAGTATAAAGAGACAAAATAGCAAATTAGACCAGGGGGGCTGAAACAGAGTACATGGAAGGAAGTTGGAGAGGGAGCCTGAGGCCAGCAGGTGACAGGCTTTAACAGTTTAAGGACCCACACTTGATTCTGTAGTAGGTGGGGGTGTGGGTGGGGAATGAAGATTTTTTTTTTTTTAAACCTTTGAGTATGTGGGAATGTGGAAGAAAGTAGATGGATCAAGTTTCACTAATCTCCTCATATCCTTACAAATGGAAATGTCCAGCCAATGAATGCTCTCCCAGGATGGTAAATGGTGAAGGTGCTAGAAAAAAACTGCAAGGCCAGACAGTTCTCATCCCAGTGAAATATTACTCTATGTCCTCAGGCAGGAATTCATCACCTACCTAATGATTTTGTGTTTGATCCCATACTGCTCATCTGAATTTCTTCCCGATCAGGTTTCTTATCTATACGGAGTCAGAAAGTTATCCAGGTCAAAAACCAACTCTTCAAATTCTATACTCATCACAAAAATTGCTCTCTGGTCGGTCCTCCCTCCCTCTCATCAATTCTTACTGAGCACCCACTATGTGCCAGACAACAGACAAAGCCCTCATGGGACTTAAAAGAGATCCCTTTCTAAAGGACTCCTAATATGAGAAACCATTCACTCTAAGCCATCAATTGTCAAATTATTTGGCCTCCAGACCCCTTTACAGTCTTAAAAATTATGAAGATCCAAAAAGTATTCACTGGTGTAGGTCATATGTTTTACTATTTTACTGAACTGAGAAATTTTAAATATTTATTTCACTTAAAAGTAACAAGAAACTTATTCCATGTTAACATAAAACTTAATGTTTTTAAAAAGCAGGGTGTTTTGTTGGTTTTTTTTTTTTTTACATTTTTGCACATCTCTTTAAAGTGTGGCTTAAAAGAAGATAGCTGGATTCTCATACCTGCTTCTGCATTCAATCTGTTGTAATGTAATTTTAGTTGAAGTATATGAAGAAAATCCAGCCTCCCACAGATAAAACATTGGAAAAAGGAGAATTTTAACAATCTTTTCAGATAACTGTGGATATTCTTTGATAGTATACTAACACTCAACAAGTACGGTTCCTCTAAGGGTAGCAACAATATAGTATCTGAATCCGAATGAATGATCTCTTCATACTTCATGAAATTAAAATGCACTGGTCTGTCTTGCACTTTGAATGGGCCAATTACCCATGCAGCATTCTGAAACATCATGCATTGGTCACCTGGAAAATACCTGGTTCATAGAGTAATGCAGATCTTCTATAAATGTTAAGACATTTCATTATACAACATCAAAAAATAAAATAAAATATCGCATTCATTACTATCATCACTGATTTCATTAAAAAGTCTTTTCAGTACTGGGGTGTTCCCAGGCTCATAATGGCAGGTACAAGTTTGCCAAAGTTACCATTTTCACTTGAAAATTCAGGCAGCAAGTACAGTCACTTATTTTTCCTCCAAGTGAGAAGCTCACTGCATTTATTTTTGAGAAAATATCTAGCAAATATCCAAGTCTAAATAGCTGTAGTTGGGTCTTTTTCTTTCAAGGAAAAATGGCATTCCTTAATAAAAAGAGTGGCCAGTCCACTTAGAAACTCCAACTATAGCACCACTGCTTTTCCTCATGTCAACCATCATGCTTGGTATGCAGCACAGGATCTTTCGAGAAGATGCATACTCAAGGTTAGAAACAGTAAAATTAATTTTTACAGCTCCATCAACGACATTCTTAAGTGAAACTGGCTCTTCTTTCAAGTTGTGAGTCCATGGTAATAAAGACTGCGAGGACTGGTTTGGCCTGGCGTCACCGCCAGTGTGCACCACCCAGGCTTTTGCAGAATCGGCACAAATGCTGACAGACACGGGGATCCTCACACATTTCAAGAGCCCTGACTGAGGCAAAAGCCAAGTGTCATCAAGATAGTAAGGGTTACAATATCCACTTCCATGAAAAAGAAAACATTTCATAAAACAAAATATGTAACTCGTCTTTTGGGAAAAAACGTATTTGCTCACATAGCAAAAATGTGTAAAAGATAAAACCACAAAGAGCAGCGGTTATCTCTGGGTAATAGAAGTAAGTGGTTTTGTTGTTATTTTTCTGGTTGTCTGTAGTTTCCAATTTTTCAACAGCCCATATATTACTTATGGGAATTTAAAAAGCAAAATATCGTCATTAGGTGATATATACATATATCAAATCATTGTGTTGTACACCTTACATTTGTACAGTGACAGATGTCCGTTCTCTCTCAAAGAGAGAATACGGCAAGACTAGGTTCACTGTCCTGTCACTCTAAGTCTGCAAGCAAGGATAGAGGATCCCACCCAGGCTCCTGCCGCTTTTGTTTCATTTTCTAACACTCAGCTCTACCAGCTTCTGTGGTACAATCCCCAGGTGAAGTATTATTACCCTCTACCAAAAGACTAGCTCATTCAGTAATACATATATATATTCTATTCCTTAGGTAGTCCGTCCACCAGAGAACAGCAGTGGTGGAATAAAAGCAGAGGGGTATGCCCCTGGATACTGCACCTGTTTTCTGGTTCCGGTCAATGAGAGGGAGAGTGCTGTCATCATATGAATGACTGCTCTGGCTTCTAGAAGCATTGTTTAGATTCACCTGGAGGCAAACATAAAATGCAACAATGTCTCAGAATACTGAATTCACCCACATCTTATTCCCCAGTGGGCACAGACTGAGGTCCCTATTCTCAAATACAACTCTTACCGAAAGATGACTCATATGGGTTAAATAAATACCTACAGAGTGAAACAAACAAGGATGTTACAGCTTCTATTTATGTTCCCGATGGTGTTCAGGAGACAACAGAGGTACCAAACACTCATGCTATCAGAAGGTGACACGGTCTCCGGCAAATTCCTTCAAAGGGCTATGGCAGATTTGGGGGAAAAGTCAAAAAGGCCATCTTCCTTCGTCACGACCAGCACTGACAGCATGCTGTGACTCAGAGGAAGACCACAGCTGTTCGGGCAGCAAACAAAGCATAGGCACCACTCTTTTGGGGAGGAGGAGTAAGCCAAATGATTTCCTAACAGACTTGGGATAAAGTAGGACTCAATGTGACAGTGAAGCAGAAGAAACCAAAGACAGAGTGGTACATGAGACCCAGGGCAAAAAGGTACACGCCTCAGGCCCCAGAGCTGCTCTACCTGGAAGTCTGATTTCTTCCATCCTTCTTTTTCCAGTGGCTTCCGTAGTTCCTTATAGCCCCAGATTGTCTGTAATACAAGTGCTGCTGCTCGGACTTCTTTTTCTGATCGGTTCCTTTGGAGGAAAGTAACACCAGATGGAATTTGGACGTTAAAACCAGGGAAGAAGCGGAGAACCTGTACTCTCTAATACAGTGTAACAACAGAAATGCCAAAATGGGCAAGATCAAGCATTCACCAAGTTCTGTATTCTGTCCCCAACAGTGACACACAAAGAAGTTTGATGGACAAGCAGGTTATCAATGGACAGCTCAACATTAAGACAAAAAACAGAGCAATATCTCTTCACACCTTCACATGTAAATAAGGGAAAATAACCTTAGAGAGCAAAAGGGGAGCACTCCTTCCTAGCAGCTCCCTCTCACACTCAAACTCTTCCAATTGTCATTTTAAGCATTAAACTCACCCTGATTTGTTGATCAACACCAGCTTCTCAATGCCCTGTGTCTCTCGAAGCTTTTTGGCAGCCTCCAAGTTCTCGGCAATAACCTCGTTGATGGTGTTCAAGAGAGAGACGACGGTGTCCTCAGAGAAATTCTGGGAAGAGCTCTGCTGCCCTCCTGGCAGATTCTTTACCAAGTTGGGAATAGCATGTTTACCTATAGCATTAAGACGAAAGGAATGTGTGTAGGGAGAACAAGCCAAGTCTGGCTATGAGGAGCCTAAAGTAAGAGTTAACTACACCGATCACAGAAAATGCAGGTACTGTCCACAGGAATCAACTTCCTTCTGCTACAGGATTATCATACCAGAAGAGCAAAGGACCTGGAATAGCCCTGAATTTATGGTTCTTCTTATTCCTTTCTTTATTCTCCCCTCTAGCCACACTGAAACAACGTGAATACTTTATATCAAATACGCTAGTCTTTTCAGATAGTCTAATGAAAACAGCATACATATTTAAATTGTAATAGTTCAATAAAATAGTTATTATGAATTTAACAAAAAACTGGGCTCTGCCACAGCCCACCTGTATTAAATCCGGGCAAATTACATAACTTCCCTGACCCCTGGGGTTTCCTTATTCTATAAAAAAACTGGACCTCTGTAAAGCGGTCAATGAGAACATGCGTAAGTATTAACAATGCCTACTAACAAAGAATATGCTTAATAAATAAATAAAGCTGTTGTGTTCTGTTTTTGAAGAGTCATCACTTCTTGTCTTTCTAAGAACGATTAAACTAGAACCCTCGGAGTTGCAAACTACAGAGGGCTAGCTGGGATCCCTCCTCTGTCATTTCAGTAGTAAACTAAATAGCATCAGCCAGATGGAAGGCTCTGTATTAGATGCTGAACTAATGGTTCACATCCAACTCCTTACCAATGAGTTCTTTGTTGCGAGCATCCACGGCCAGATTTCTCAGTGCTCCAGATGCAGCTTTCACCACCCGCTCATGTTCATTGGTCAGGAGGTCAGCGATGGCAGAAAGAGCCTTCTCTTGACGCAGAGCAGAGCGAATGTATCGACCATACTAGAAGTAACACATGGAAAGAGGTGGAACAGATTACAAATGGCAGCAAACTAGTTAGCTGAGTTCTCCCACCTCTGAATCCATTTTCTAAAAGGTACTCACCGTCCAGCGCCCAGCACACAAGTTCTGGATAGCTCCAGCTGAGGCTTCTAGGATGGCAGGAGTCTTGCTCTCCTTGAGGAGTGAGATGTATATCCGAACCACCTCTGGCTGAAATAAAAGCTCATAGCCTACACAAGAAAGGGCAGGAAAACAGAGGAGGTTAGTTAGTACATACAACACGCCAGGCTCTGGCTGGTTGAAGTCCAGATTCAGTACTCTGGATTGACAGATTTATGCTCCTATACCACTAGGCTCCCTATAGACTCTCCCACCCACCCAACAGCCAACTCAGAGGCTTGAGTCCATGCCTTCTTAAGAATAATTCATCCACCGTAAGAGAAGAACAGACATCAACTCGTCATATGCAACTCCACCTCTCTCCTTCTACCTTGCCTCTTCTCTTGCAGTTTACTTTGGCCTTGGCACTCAGGGGAATTCATCTGCCCACTGATAGCACTCAGGGTTACAGATTCCTCATCTCAAATGAATGGTTTCTAACTTAACTGAGTCATTCTGCCCACCTTTACTACGACTAAGTAAAAGGGCCTATCCTAGATTTAACAACACGTAAGGTTTTCATACCCACGAAGAGCTACGAATTTTAAACCCACTGTACTGATAAACACCCAAACTGTGAGAAAGAGACTTCTTATAACAGGTAACGATTGAGTCCTAAGAACTGTAGCGGTTACTGAGGGCACCTACGTTTCTGGCCTAGCCTGTCATCAGGACCTTACCCATCCTCCAATAATCTGAAAAGTTGCCAAAACAAGCCGACCTGCTATACCAGTTTCCCAATGCTTCACCATCACTCCACATCCAGAGTTGGAGGAAAGAGAACAGTGATCATACTGCACTAACACTACCTGACACTCATCTATGGACTATGTGTACGAGATTCCTGGAGACTACAAGGAAAAAGATAACTTACCTCGAGCTGGACTAGTTCTTTTAGGAAAATCCACTGTATCGTTTGCTGGATCCTCTGTGGGTTTTTTCCCTTTGGAAATTAAAAAAAGGAGAAAGGGGTAAAAAGTTTGAGAAAGGAAGAGTCCACTTGGTGCACTTTTCATTCTTCAGTCAAAATCTTTTTGGATCAGAGATGCATCAAGAGGGGGGAAAAAACCACCAAAAAGAAAAAACCAAAAAACCAAGCTCCCCTCCCCCCGTCCCAGCAGGGGGCTGTGCAGAAACAAGGACAGAAAACAGGCAGCAGACAGGTAAGATGAGGATAAGCACCGTTGTTTCTGTTGTCCTGAGTTCTGGTAACTGCAATTGCTGCCCAGGAATAGCATGCCATGAGCCACTGGCTCCAAAGAGCTGAACTTGTTTCAATGGTCTTCCTCAACTGAATTTTCCTACATGCATCCATAGGGAAGGGTTAGGAAATACTAGGGAAGCTAAAACCAAAGCATGCAAATTAGAAGTAGGGAAGCGCCTTAAAAGATTCCACTCACCTCTGGAGAACCACTCATCTTCCAGTGCGTCACCCAAGGTGGAAAGCAGAAAGGAAGGAAGGAAGAAAAATGCAGGAGAGCGATGTCAACAGGACCATGGGCAAATAAGTAGGAAAGCAGAGAGGAAAAGAAAAATACAGGAAACACAAAGGAGGAATGGGGGAGAAGGCCCCAGATTAGTTGAGTTCTTGTCCTTCGCTGCCCCCAAACTGATAGCAGTACCACCACCACCACCACCATTATCACCACCTTGAATGAAGCACACGACAAAGGGAAGCAGCTACAGAGCAAGGAGACATCCTTGACTAGGCAGACTCACATACTGCTCAGCAAGTATTTTGTACCTAAAGCTCAAAGTGTTCCTTCCCCTTCCCATCCTACATTAAAGAGCAAGGAACAAAGAACCAAGACTCACCTTTGCCCTTCTTGGCCCCAAAGCAACTGGCAGCATGTGGCCCAGTATTGTTGGCAACATTGGGAGGTGCCTCTTGGTAACGCTCTGCCTGTGGGATCTCCCGGTGAACTTGATACGACAAATTCCGAAGAAGGCAAACACAGTTCTCCACAAGCTTGGGAACACAAGATAAAGGGCTCGGTGAATGAGGAGAATGCCTATCGTGATTTCCCAACAATTCCAGGTTTCCATGATTCAAGTATTAAAATATTGATCCCTAAAAGCATAGACAGCCCCATCCATCATCACTCACAAAGCCTCTTAAATGCACCAAGCTTCTCAAAATCCTTGCAGCCTCAGGCTGATGGAAGGTTTCTGCCACCATTTGGTATGTGCACAAAACTGACGATTACCCTGACTTTTTCCTACTTAGGAAAATATATAACCTTGGAAATACAGCTAAACAGCTTTAAAATAAATGATATAGGTGAAGGAAATTCTAAAGAAAACCGTTTTCTTCTAAGGTGAACATCTACTTTAGGGAGCCGAGGCTAGTACAGATACCTAATGTCACTTGAAAGCCTAAGACGATGAGATCTGCACTACAGGTACCTTCATGGTTGCTGTGAATGGAATTCACTCAGCCATTAGCTCACCTTGCTGTCCGAATCCTTCTGCCCAATCTCAGCCTGAACAATGAAAATGAGGGCATCCACTAAACCATCACATTCCCGAAGTTTCCTGCGAGCTTCACTCCTCTCTGAGCTGACATTCCTGAGGGGGAGGGGAGAGGTTTCGAGATGACTCAGATTTAGAAATCCTCCCTTAATATCTTCAACATCTACAAGCCGCCTCCATACCTTTTCTTTTACTATAACAATTAGTGAGTACTTATTATAAGCAAGGCACTGCAATTGAGAGAAAGCTGAGTAAGACAATTCCTGCTTTTAGGACATTTGTAACAAGGCCGGGGTGGGGGTGACACACACACACGACTAGGGAAGGGCTAAATAAGGTATACCAACATCAATACTTCAAGATCAAATAGATATTTCTTGCATGGAAGTACAAATGAAGAATGGGGCAGAGCACACGGGTATATCCCAAAGAGAGAAAAAATATATTGCAGCATTTATAGGATATAAGAAGAAATCAGGAAAACTTTCATGAAATAAAGGCACTTTTGAGTTTAGCCTCAAAAGATGAATAAGGAGGGGCGCCTAGCTGGCTCATTCAGTAGAGCATGCAACTCTTGATCTTGGGGTTTTAAGTTTGAGCCCCACGTTGGGTGTAAAGATTACTTAAAATCTTAAAAAAAAAAAAAAAGAGACAAGGGCACTGTGGTCTGAACAAAGAACACATCTCCCCCAACACTATTGCCCTTCTCGTACCTTGTACTCTTTATGTTGCATTTGTTGCAGCTTTACTTGAAATATAGGTCACTGAGGACAGGGCCACAGACACACTCAAACTCAGGAATAGACAACTGCCTTACATGTGGTAGATATTGAACAAATGTTTATAAAATTAAATGAACAAACTCAAAGAGGCACAGAAGTGAGGATGTGCAGGGGAACAAGTAAACTGACAAAGCGAATGTAGGGGCACACAAGCAAGCAGTGACAAAGGTAGAACAGGCTGGAGTCACAGTATGCAATATGGATAGGAATGGAAGCTGAATGATGGGCCAAAGAATTAAAAAGGAATTTCTTTTTTAAACTTAAGTTAGTCCTCAAAAATTCAATCTTCATACTCTCGAAGCCCTTATGTTACCTAAGACAGCCAGCTGTGTTGGTGAGCACTGACTCCCACTCAATATGGCGCGGCTTGCAATCTTCATTAGGTTCCCGCTCCCAACCAGAATGTGGGATGATCACTTCATCTGTCAATGCATGCAGTGCATGGTCCACAATCTCCATTTTGATTGAGTCATGGGATGAGAGATTCCACAGGGTTCCTGGCAGACACAACTCATCAGATACCTCTCCAACACCCAAGACAGTATGTCTGAAGAATGCCAAAGAGAATCCCTTATTCCATCATTTCTCAGTCTTCCCCAATTACCAAATACCTTGTAATGATAGTCAAGCTTTTGTTTGTGACCCATGATAAGAAATACACATTATGGCTCAACATATTCATACATACATGTAGATCACGAAATAAAGTTTCATAAAACAGTATTTACTATATATAAGCAATGATCTCTGGGTTATCTACACCAGAGTTTCTCAACCTCAGTACCACTGACCTCTTGGGCCAGATAGTTCTTTGTTGTGGGAAGCTGACCTGTCCATTGTTAGATGGTGAACAGTACCTATGGCCTTTACTCCTTAGATGCCGGTAGCACTCCCTCCCACCCAAGCCAAGTTATGACAACCAAAACTGTCTCCAGACATTGCAAATGTCCCCTGGTGGGCAAGATCAGTCCTAATTGAGAACTAATAATCTATCCCACTTCTTGTTCTTTCTTTCTCTTGAAATACTGATTAGGATCCACAAAATTGTGTTCAATACACACTAATGGATCATAACCCACAATATGAAAAACAACTCTTCTAAAGCAAGGATCACAAGCTCAAATGTCTACACATGCCAGGCAGGTGAGTCAGGACAAGCAGATATTTAAAAGAAATTACAAGAGTGTAGAAAAATAGCAAAAGACACTCAGCTTCAGTGCTGGGGAGACAACATGCTATATGGCAGTAGTTGGCTAAAGATAATAGGGTATGTTCAGGATTATTGCAAATGGGAGAACATGCATACCAGTCAGTTCAGACCAACTACTGTCAGGTAGCAAAAGAGATCTATTGTTGCCAGTTCTCACACATTTTTTTTTTTAAAGATTTTATTTATTTATTTGAGAGAGAGAGTGAGAGAGAGAAAGAGCACAAGAGGGGGGAGTGGGAGAGGGAGAAGCAGACTCCCTGCCGAGCAGGGAGCCTGATGCGGGACTCGATCCAGGGACTCCAGGATCATGACCTGAGCCGAAGGCAGTCGCTCAACCAACTGAGCCACCCAGGCACCCCCTCACACATTTTTAATAGAAGCCAAGAACCTTTCAATTTTAAGTGAAATCTTCTGAATTTTAAATAAACCTTGTGTGATCCAAACAAATCAGTGAGATGGATCTGCCCCAAAGACCACCAGTTCACCACCTTGAGTCAAAAGTAAAAGGAATGAAAGTCCCTCTAGCTCTCAACATCTTTAGGGGTCATAGTAACCCCAACCCAGCAGTTGCCCTTGTGCCCGTAACTCACCGGTAATGACTTCGGTGAGGTCCATATCCCGAGCCTTTCGGAGCAATCGCACAAGGGCAGGAACACCATCACAGTTTTTTATGGCAATCTTGTTATCCTGGTCACGCCCAAAAGAGATATTCTTGAGAGCCCCACAGGCTCCAAGGTGCACTTCCTTTTTGGGGTGGTCTAACAATCCCACCAGTACCGGGATCCCCTTGAGCTTCCGAACGTCGGTCTTCACCTTGTCATTGCGATAGCACAGGTGCTGCAGGTACGCGGCTGCATTGGACTTGACGGCATCCAAGCGGAATCCTAACATGGCTATCACCTCTGGCAGCTCTGGCTGTCTCCAGCTGGGGGGCGGGGGCCCCCCCTTACGCAGGCTATCCAAGCTTGCTAAACTTCCCCGTTCGTGCTGGGCCAGAGGAGCCCAGTAGTACTGGTCCGACGGCACTTCCTCACCAATCATGTCTTCGTAGCTCCTGCAGTGTCGGAAGAACCCAGAGGAAAAGAATACATCAAGTTGCCGAGTCTGGTTTCCTGGTGAGCTCCCATGACCCCTCACCTCCAAGGCTGGAGGCAGGAGTAACTTCAACTCCAGTACACTAGATCTTACCTTTCCTTTGCATCAATGATAGACTGATCAATTTTTCTTAAGGAGATAAGGGAACAATTTTAAAGGCATCTGCAGTTACATTAAAGCTACCTTTTTCCTGTCAAGTTTACTAGCTCGGAAGATAGTAACAAGCATTCAGAGACGCTAATCACAAAAACAGAACCAAATCCTGACTGCTTAGCACTTAAATGACACCTGACAGCTAAGCTCTCTGGATAGAGACTGAAATAAACCCTCAGACGACAGAGTTAAACCAAAGAAGTCAGCAAACAATGTCTGAGAACAACTCTTACAAGCCTTCAGCTAAACAGGAAATGAGGCATTTACACACAGGAAACAGCTGCTGGGATTAGACCCTTAAACACCACTTATTTAAGCCTCTCATCTTATTTTGGAAATTAGAAAAGAGGAGGTGGTTAAGAGTAGAACAGTTCAGGCCTTCCTGCTACATGGTAGGGGGACCTGGCTTTGGTAGAAGCTTGAACATTAATTTTCACAGTTCATCCCAACGTCATCTCTGCTACTCAACAAATGTGTTCCAGATATGATTGCTAGCCTCCGATTTCTAAAGACAATACCTTGGATTCTGTCAAAACAGAGGCTACTGAACAACACAGCATTTGGGATACCCAACAAGTAAGAAAAAGAACAGAGACGAAGCAAGGGAAGGTTTAGAGAAAAGTCTCACCAGAGAGAATTCTTCCTAATTTCAGTACTACCAGCAACCACTAGAGGGTGAATCTGTCACACTATTATTTATTCATAACCACCAGGAAGGAAGAGACCCATTATCTGCGAGCTCATCTCACCCTCTGGCTCCCATAGGAGAAAGGAGAATCTATTGTGTGGAACTCTCCAAATAAGCCTGTTGTTTGTTCCACAAAACCGCTCCCACTGTCACCAAACCCTCAAGGTTGGCTGCAGCAGAGGCCCTGCCTCTTAGCTGCCAACATCAACCACTCAACAGCAACTCAGATGGACAAAGCACTTTGTAAAAATCCCTATTTTTTAGTAGCATCAAAAAAAAATGAACAGGTTATATAGCTAAGTTTTAAAAGGAGGCCACTGAACAGTAATGTTAAGGAAGATTCTATTTTAGTAGGGGAAAAATAAGGTCAGAGTATGTTGAGTATGTCTACCTACATCAGAAAATAGAACTCAAAGCAAGTGCACCAAAATGTTAACCGTAGTTCTTTCTCCATGGCCGGTGTGCCTTTCTTGTCTAGTTTTGTAGTGAGCATGTTTTACTTTCATTATTATTTTAGTATAAGCAATTACAAAAACAATCGCCATAACCAAGATTTTGGTCACTCAGTTGTATTTCCTTCTCTTATAGGCAGTGGATCATGACATTCTTTCCTTTGTCTTACAAATAACAAAGCTGTGCCCAGAGAGATTAAATGACTTGCTTGAGGCTATATAGCTGGTGGCAAAGGCACAACTAGAAGTAGAAGTCTTCTGGTTCAGCGCTTTTTCCATTAATCATTCTGCCTTACTGTTTCCGTTTGACCTTGTATTACTCTCCCAGGCCTGGAACAGGAAGCAGCTAATGTTCTTGCTAGTCAAGCAGGTTTCCAAGTCCAGTGCCACCCTGGAACAGACTCAAGAACCAGGCCCAAAACATTCTCCTTTTATGTCAACTGCCACAGCAGAGAATGACCTGGCCACCCACACCCACCTAGGTCCAATCACTCTACTAATGAGGAAGTCAGAAAAGCAGGCTTGCTAACAAGCAGAGGGGCCAACGCCCTGGGCAGACTCCCTTGGTGATAGCGGTTATCTACCACTGCTTCAAGTAGCACCAGCTTAAGTCTGGTGCCCACCCTGCTGCCCCCTGCCCCAATAAAAGGTGAGTCACATGGGAGTTGGACTAGCTGTCCAAATGATACAATACCTAAAAGGTGAATGACTCAGGCTTAGATAATGGGGCCTCTACCCTGGCCCCAGCCCAGTTCACTATTAGCCAAAGCTACCTAGTATGAGGAAAACTAGCACCAAGGCACTTGCTTTAGAAGGTTATGACCCCATACAGAAATTCAACAGCTGCTAGGATATCCTTACTACCAAGACATATGTATATCTTCTCCTTTATTTATTATGTTTCCTTGCCTGGAAAACACTAGGTCTCTGATTTATTCTGAAGCAGGGTTGGCAGCCCATGGGCCAAACCTGTTTTTGTCCAGTCCCAGAGCTAAAAAGGGGTTTTTATATTTTTAAAGGTTTAAAAGAACAACATTCAACAAAAACGATATATGGCCTGCAAGCCTATTAAAATAGTTCTATCTGGTCCTTTACAGAAAAGGTTTGCCAACCCCCATTCCAAAGCACTCTTCCAAGGCAAACCTTCTACCAGCCCAAACATCAATCACTCCTTTTTTCACATCACCAAAGAATCCCCAGGGATGTGTAGTCAAGTCAGAATAGGCAGCTGCTTAGTGACCTTTCAGAATGTCACTAACATACCGCCTCAAAGGATGCCACCCCCATTTCACTTTATAATCAAACGTAAGAACCAAAACACAAAGTGGCAGGGATTTGGTGAGATCAAGGTTTGTTTTTAACTTGAGACTAAAATCACCACAGGGAGGGTTCTCACATACACCCTTAACTGTCTATTCTGGCCCTGAAAACCTAAAACCCTCAATTCTTACTACCAAACCAGGTGCTGAAGCAATTAACAGGAGCAAGGGAGTACCCCCATAGCCCTAAAGTACTAAGCTCCTTTGTGAAGCTATCACCAAAAGGGAGCCAGATCTGGGGCAGAAATAGCAACTCCTGGCATGGAAGCAAAGACCACTCTTCAGGATGTAGCCCAATAACCACAAGTCATTATCTATAGGTAATTAGAATATAGGATTTTCATCATGAAAAAGACAAAAAAACAAGTCAGTATTTGGTAAAGTCACAAAAGGGAAGATGCAAGTGTCTCTGATTCAAAAAAACACTTAGAGAAGGAAGAGCTACCCCTTTCCACTGTCTTGGTTTAAGACCCTTTTCTTCCCTACCTGAGTCGTCGGCGAGGGTCAGAGGGTGTCCCAGTCCGACGGGCAGTGCCATAATCGGACATCATGCCGTAATCCAGATCATCATAGCCCATGCTACGCTGGTCATCCTCTAGCCCATAAGGCTCTGGGTGAAAACGATGCAGATCCACACTGCTCCCACCTACCCGAACCTGGGGCTGGGGCCCATACACATCCTGTCTACTAGGTGCCCGATAACCTTCCATGCTGGGCCTGTACCGCTCCTCAATGCGGGTCACCCGGGACAGACTGCCATAGTTGTCACTGCTACTTGGATAACCATCTTCATAGTGGCGGCTATATCCATCGGGAGGGTAGTGGAAGTTCCTGGGAAGGGTAGCAGTGCCTGCTTGCCCCACATAGGGACCAGGTCCCCCATTGCCATTCTTGCGGAAGTCACGCCCCAGAGTCTGGATATAGTTGTTAGAAACTGATGAAGCATCCACAGGCAGCCCATCTGGTCCCACAGGGACTGGCTGTACTGTCCGTGTTGTCACAGTCTTCACCACTTTCTTGACCTTCACATAAGGAAAGAGAAGAGTAAATATAAGCCTACGTTCTAGACCTAAGAAATGAAACAAACCCCCACTGCCAGCTCACTTTATCTTGAAATGCTTTACATTTTACCATCTACCCTTCTCTCTCTACCTTACAGGAAGTGCCCAGGCAGGAAATTTGTGCTGGCAGTTAACTATGCCTGTAAGGGAAGCTACCGTAGACCTCGCAGACTTCTCCCTTCCCCATTCCATTCAATTTTCCCATATCTCTTCTATCTTCCCCGTCTGGCCAGAGATCACTTTCTTTATGCCTTCACTACAGATTAATACTTTTCATCCACCCTAACTAAGTGCTTAATCTCTCCCTCCACCAATAAAGACCATAGGAAGACCTCCTCTATCATCCCAGACCTTATACAAGTCTTTGCTTACTGTGGTCTCTGTGCGCCGAGTAGTTCCATCATCAGAGGTCTCCACAGAGACAACAGACATGGCTCCCTCGGGGTCCTCCTCTGTGTAGGTCCCCACAATCTGCCCTGGCTCCTGCATCCTGGGAATGGTGCTATACACAAGGTGACTGTGATCCTGTATGAAAAAGACGAAAAGGAAGGAACGACTATTAAGCCATATATATCAACAGTCCAACCCAATGAGAAGTAGTCTCCCTAGTGAGAGACTCATGCATCTTCCACGGGCCCCAGGATTTTTAGTGGGGTAGCTGACACCACCTTTTGAACTTGTACAAAAGAGCAGAAGATGTAAGTCCCCAGTTCTAATAATTTAACAAATACGAACTGAGGGGCGCCTGGGTGGCTCAGTCGTTGGGCGTCTGTCTGCTTTCGGCTCAGGCCGTGGTCCCGGGGTCCTGGGATTGAGTCCTGCATCAGGCTCCCTGCTCCGTGGGAAACCTGCTTCTCCCTCTCCCACTCCCCCTGCTTATGTTCCCTCTCCCCCTGTGTCTCTCTCTGTCAAATGAATAAATGAAATCTTTAAAAAGAAAAAACAAAACAAAACTATGAACTGAGTTAACTATAGCCACATCAACACCCAAGTAACAGAGACAGCAGATTTAACTTCCCAGTTCTGGTCATCGAAGTGAATATGAACTGTGTTAACTGTGGTTACATCTGTATCTGGGTGATCCTTCAAAAAAAGAAGTTCACCAGCAAAGAACTTTTAAGATGAACCAGAAAATCCCCCAAAAAACCATCTTCTGACCTGCTCTGTTACTCTTTAGAAACTGCCTAAGGCTCAAGACCAGCCAGATTTCAGGTAGAAACAGAGGCATGCCCATTCCAGAAAAGGGATGCAGTAATTGAGGGATCAAATACAGGATCAGCGGCCATTAAAACTTATTCCAAAATACAACTACATGTATACATTTAAGCTCCACTATTTTATTTTCCTAAATGAAAGCAGCTAATTAATGGGTGGGTACTTAAAATGTACCAGGCACTTTGCAAGACACCAATATGCTCTTATAGGCCAGGGAAGTTAAGAGAAAAATGAAGCAACCCAGACCTTGAGCCAAAGACATTACCTGGGGTCCGTTGAGTTTCAGATCTGAAAATTTCTGTCGCTCAAGGTCAGCATCGCCCACAAACCGGCCGTTCTGAAACAGAGCCCACATGAAGACAATTCATTTTGTGGCCTTCCTTTGCTCTATCAAATACAAGTAATCTTTTTTCCAAACAGGAAAAGAGCTTTCAAAAAGATATTTGTGGCCTGGCGTCCTTCTGTCAAGTACTTATAAAAGAACCACATCACTCCTTAGTTTTAGCACTTTCCTCAAAAGTGGAACTGGGCCTGGAACTGGCAGACTGGGTCTCTGGAACATAAGAAGGTAAGCTCTATGAGGGCAGACATTTTTTTGTATTTTTATTTTTTGGTCAGTTTTGTTCAACGGTATATTTCCAGTACCTTGAACAATGCTTGGCACATAATAGGCACTCAAAAACTATTTGCTGAGTAAATAGCTGAAACTCAGGTAAGTCCTTAAAAATATAAGTTAGAAAGGCTAGGTTGGGGAGTTTCCAAAAGCCTTCTTCATTGCTCCATGCATCTTCATGCTCTACTACCAATGGAAACTCCCACATCAGCCAGCTTTTGAGAGAGAGATTCAAGAGGGGCGCCTGGGTGGCTCAGTCGTTAAGCATCTGCCTTCGGCTCAGGTCATGATCCCAGAGTTCTGGGATAGAGCCCCGCATCGGGCTCCCCGCTCTGTGGGAGGCCTGCTTCTCCCTCTCCCACTCCCCCTGTTTGTGTTCCCTCTCTCGCTGTGTCTCTGTCAAATAAATAAATAAAATCTTTTAAAAAAAAGAGATGCAAGAGACAGGAGTCTCCCTTTCAAAGTAGGAAGAAAACAAGTACCCCAATTCCCCTCAAGCAAAAAGTTGTCTCAACATCATCACCACCAATTTTTAGAGCCACAGAACATAAGCTGCTCTCTTTTGAGCAGCAGGAAATAATCTAACAACATTATACTATGTAAAAACACATTTGACTGCTCCTCTTCCAATAGGAAACAGCGAGATCCACCTTGGGAGACTTCCCCCACCCTACTCCCATTACATAGGGAGTGTAATGCTGCAGGGAGAGGAAGTTAAACATTACTTTCAGGAAGAAGGAAGGGTGTGGCTTCACTACTGAACAGAAGTTAAAAATAAAAGAGAGAAAGAGAGAAACCTAGTACTAAATCCTGGAATTCCCCACCACCTCTAAGCCCAAGCAGTCCTGCTCTCCCCTTTCAATATATACCTCTCATTCCTAACCCTCTCTTCTGGTTCCTATAAAAATCCTAGAACGTTGCAAATATACTGCCTCCAAGTCTCCTAAATGAGGTTTTGTCCTCTCACGCAATATGCTCCTCAGCATGAGGGACCTTCTCTGTCTTAAAAAATAGTAAGTAATCAGGGCACCTGGGTGGCTCAGTTGGTTAAGCGACTGCCTTCAGCTCAGGTCATGATCCTGGAGTCCCGGGATCGAGTCCCACATCGGGCTCCCCGCTCAGCGGGGGGTCTGCTTCTCCCTCTGATCCCCTTCCCTCTCGTGCTCTCTGTCTCTCATTCTCTCTCTCTCAAATAAAAAAAATCTTTAAAAAATAATAATAATAAGTAATCAATGGAAAGGACTACTGAAGCATAAGCACTGTTGTTAGTTCCCACCGGAGATCTCTTAAGATGGAGTCTATCAAGCAAGGTCTACTCTATACATACATACACACACACACACACACAACACCTGAGAGAGATTACATCACACACACACACACACACACACACACACACACACACACCCCACCCCTACCGGAGATCTCTTAAGATGGAGTCTATCAAGCAAGGTCTACTCTATACATACATACACACACACACACACAACACCTGAGAGAGATTACATCACACACACACACACACACACACACACCCTACCTACCTCTGACAGATTATATCACAGTGAAGTCAGACCAGAGAAACCACAGGAAACGCAAGATACTTCTCCTTTCTAACACCAACTCCCCCAAGTCACTCATAGAGTCAGCCAACCCAGAGACCACTGGCTCCTGTGGTTATCTGGGTTAAATAACAGCACGATGCTCCTCCAGCTCTAACCGACAGAATTAACAATGACCTCCTCCCTCCAAGACATGATTTGCAAAGCTAACAAAACAAGCATACAAGGACAATATGGAGCAGGAATACACAATTTATGGATACTGCCACACCTTCTGAGCAGACTGTTCCGTGAGGGAGCCTGAACTGGAGCTGAGAGTACAAGATGCCCAACCTCGCCAACCACTAAGCAGGCATTTACCTTCCTTAATGTGGTAAACTTGATACCAAGTTGAGGAAAAAAAATCAGAGAAAACCAAGGACCCTGAGTACAGCTCCAAACTATATGATCTACCATGACTAGAATTACATCCCAAACCAGAAACCCCACTCCAGCAAAACAGGAAGTCAGATAGATGCTTCTAGCAATACACCATTCAACTCAGCAGAGCTGCAATATCTCCTGTCTCTTACATCAGTTCTGGAAAGGTTCACCATGACACATGGGCACTTCGACAGCCCATCACCATGAGGAAAGTAGTTTCCCAAGTAGGATCATAGCCTCTCTATAACCATGCCAAAGTCCTACCTGCAGGTCTGATGGAGAGAGGGGTTACCTGATGCCGGCGGGTGAGGGTGCCGTTGGCCATGAGTGGGTTGGCATCTTGTGGTGAGACCCGGACGCGTTCCAGTTGCGCCGAGACGTGGCGCCGTTCCTCCTCCAGCGCCCGGGTCAGCTTCTCAAACTGGGCCTCTTGTTCCTTCACAGAGGCCAAGATGCTGGCGGTCGACTCCACCTCTGAGTCGTCCATGAACGTAAGGGGCGGAGCCGCCGCAGGGCAGGGTAAAAAGGAAGGTGTGGATCACAGAGGGAGGAGCAAGGAGGGAGAAGGCCCCCCTCACTTCGCACTACCGAGAGAAGGTAAGGGAGAGGAGAGAAAAGGTCACAGGTCAGAGAAGACAGATGAATCATTAATCCCAGAGCCAAAGATGCCCCCTTGTGGTTTTACTGCAATGCAGAAAGCCAGCCACCACCAAGCCTAGGAGCCCATCACCAGTGTCCACTGAAGCAGGATCCTTTGCCCACTACCCTTTAACACCTGACCAGAAATAACCACTGAATGGAAAGGTGCAACTAGATCCAAGTCTACACTGTTGGCAGGAGAGGGAGAATATGGCTAAGGGCTGTAGTCATGACAGGAGATTAATATTAGATTATTCTTCCCTGGAAAAATTTGCTGGTGTTAACTCAATCAAAGTTGTTAACGCCACAGTACAGCCCAGCATTCACTGTCCTGCATCGGCAAGCCATTTCTAGAATTAAGGGAGTAGTACAGACCTACAGATCTTACTTACCTCCCCAAACCTGAACACTGAAATTGCCTCAGTGGTAGCAAAATTTACTAAATGAATATGATACATTAAAATGCCAATCAGAAATAGAAATAGTAAAAAACTTCCTACCATCAAACGCAGGTAACAAAATGAAGGCCCTCATATTGAATACATTTACGAAGGAGTCTTTCTACTTTTCAAGACCATACTATCATACTGAAGGCAAGCCATGGGCCTTGGCTAAAGGAGACAAGAGAGTAGTAAAACCACAAAAAATTCTGTGTGTAAAAAGGCTCCACTTGCAGCGACCTTCACCTCTTTGGGGAGTAGGAAAATGAACATTAGGCTCAAAATCTGAAATTGCCCCTCAAAGTAGTTCACTTCACATTCTAACCTCCAGTCAATGGCTGGGAACTTCCTACATCCCTGTTATCCTGCAGAAAGCTCTAAAAAACCAACTGTATTTTTACATCTTTACTTATTCCAGCTCAGGGTAAGTATCCAAGTATATAGAGGATTTGTGTGCTATTTATACAATAAACGATTGTTATATAAAAATGAAGAGTTCCCCATACCCTACTGTATTAACTACAAGTCGGCCAGTAAATGGAGGGGCACTGTAGTCACACCATTGGACTCAATAGGGTTTCTCCCTTACAAACTGGCTATAGGAGACTTTATGGCCAGTCCAACATATACCATGTCAAGAGGTTTTAAAATAAACTCTCTTCCCCTATTCCCCACCCTCTTCTCAACCCCCTAAAGAAAAAAGGCACTCAAAAAATTTATTCTTAATAAACTTATTTCCATACACACCTGTTAAGAGAAGGTCGTAACTGATTGGTTTTAACACAGAGAACAGCCCAGTCTAGATTCAAAAAATCATGGGAGAAGCATCCCAGCCACCACAGCAAGGAGGAAGCAGGAAGGAGAGAGCTGCAGAAATATTTGGAGGAAAAATGAGATTGAGAGGAAAATAAAATATACACAAAACATTAAAAAATAAGAGGAACGGGGCAAGTACTGGGAGAAAGAAAATCTGGGAATGGAAGGGAGTCATGTAAAATATGACTTGGAATTGCTTAATGTGACAAATGCCCTTTGGACTTAGCTCTGTCTTCAGATACCTGGGCCTTGGATGTAGTTTTTAGTAAAACCGGGATTCTACTGTCATGGAGTACTTCTGTACAGAACCAGGAGTAGGTTATAATATGGATAAAAATTCACTTACCCCCTATTCCCAGCGATCAAATTGGGGGGAAAATTTCTGTTGTTGGAATGCCCTTCCCCCCCCCCTTCCCACCTCTAAGGCAGAAACCTCAAAGCCCAGTCCCAGCATGCCCACAAAGACATTGAGAAACCAATGCAATAGTCGTAGTGGGGAAGACATGTGGGGACTAGCCTAGGCTGAGCCTTTTGCTTCAGTTCCCTTTCCCACGCTCTCCAGGGCTCTACCAAACAAATACTTGGGCCTGCCTGCTTTAGAGTATATGCAGCATTCTGCCAGCAAGAGCACTTAGAGGAACAGATAGACAGGTGTCCAATAAACTACCTAATTAATCCTCCATCAGTAAGACTCCTTCCAGTGGATCAAGCACCGAAATCCAAGAATATGGCAGCCCTTCTCTAAATTCCTCCGACCCTGGCTCTGGGCTCCCACAGTCACTTATCAACTCCTGTTCTTCCTTCCAGTCTGTTGCCGAGTTTTCCTATTCCCACCCTACACCCCAACAGGCCACTCAAAGGTCTTTAAAAAGTATCATTTAAAAAAAAAAAATGCTGCTCCCTCCTCATCTCTATTGCTTCATTTTAAGCATTGTCCTTATCCGCTATGTACCATGACCTATGAACCTTCCACACCAAGAGGACTCTTAAGCTCAAGAGAGATTCTTCCAGTTCTAGATTTTAACAGGGCCTGAATTGCAGTTACCACTCTGGCAGCCTCCACCCTGTAATCTTCTTTGCTAATGAAAGCCCAAACTACCACTATTATGGGGCATACAGTGACAACCCTCCCTGCTGCACAGAAATGGTCACCATGCCGTAAACACCTACTTTTTACCCCTTCAATAAAGGGAGTTAAGGAAGGATAGTAGGAAAACTAACTAGGGCTCTAGATTAGAATGCAGGATCTTTTCCCATCCTTCATGGCTTTAAAGGCTGGACCACCAGGCTCTAATTTGGAGAAGAGGACAGCACAATTAACCAGAAAGAGAGGATCAGATTCCTAGGCCTAATAGCATGGGGAGATTTTCTGCTGAAAGAGGGCAGAAGCAGAGGCTGTGTAGGACAGGATGCAGAAGACTGGTCCCAGTCCTGGCTCTGCCACTAGCCAACAATGGCAGAAGGTCACTGCCATGTTCTCATCTGAGAGATGCCAACATCACCAGCCCAGTTTAACTGAGAGCTGCTAAGAGGATCAGGTGAGATAATGTATGTCATACAAATGTGAGGTATTAAGTTGTTTCAAGAGCTAGTTTCTATCTCCCAATTATATTACTTAATGGTAATGCCTCAGCCCCAAACTATTTTGTGAACTAGTAGATGAGACTAACCAGATCAAAAGCATAACTGGGTTCTAAGGAGTGGATGAGCTGGTTCTCCTGCTCTAACTCTATTTACTAGGAGGTCCCACCTAGACCAGTGTTTCTGGAACATAGAGTGCAGCATTACACATCTGCTATAATAAGTTCTTGTCCCCTTATTTGAGGCCTTTGCAGTTTATGACCACAGAGAAAGGGAAGGTGAAAAGAACTAACAATTACTGAGTGTTTTACATTTATTATCATGGTAATACTTACAACCCCAAGGAAGGAAGTTTTACTGCAAATGAGAAAATGGGCTCTAGGTGAAGAAAATACCCAAGGTCTCGGTTAATAGCAAATTCTGAATTTAAACTCATGTATCTATTCCATTCCAAAGCCTGCGTTCTCGCTCTACTACATGCTGTCAAGTCCAGAAAGTACAAGTCCAGTATAAGATGGACAGTCCAGCCCTTCTCCCCCATAGTCCTTGTACTTTCTGCCCAAACATCACAGGAAAAAAGTAGGGGGGTGGGTTGGGGCTTCCATTTTTCCTTATGTTAAAGGGTTATTCATAATGTCTACATATAAGACTTAAGTGGGACAACAGAAACAAATGGGAGGAAAAAGAAAGCAGAAGCAGGGTAAGAGAATGAAGCTGCTGGCGAGCTCCAGAGCACGGCCTCCTCACAACTCAGACTTGAGGAAAGAGTCCTCGTCCGTGCCATACACAGAAACAAATTATGCTTTAGACCAGAATCTGCAAACCATTAATGGACTCTGGCAATTAAGAGTCAAGAAAGTCGGGGCGCCTGGGTGGCTCAGTTGGTTAAGCGACTGCCTTCGGCTCAGGTCATGATCCTGGAGTCCCGGGATGGAGTCCCGCATCGGGCTCCCTGCTCAAGCGGGGAGTCTGCTTCTCCCTCTGACCCTTCCCCTCTCATGCTCTCTGTCTCTCATTCTCTCTTTCTCAAATAAATAAAAAAAAATCTTAAAAAAAAAAGAGTCAAGAAAGTCAAAAAGTCCAGGCCAACACCTTTCTTAATATTTTCAAATGAATTACACTGGCTCTCACTACAAAAAGGCCGCCAAGGAATTCTCAAAGTGAGAAGGAGAGAAAGGCCACACATAAAGTGAGCCCTGCCATTCCCCTAAGTAACTGGTTTTACTCGTAACAAGCTGTAGGTCCTACAGACCTGTGAGTCTACAGCAAGGCTCCAGCATTCAGGCAATGACAATGGTAAAAATTCAGTCTCTTCTGTAAGAAACCCAAACCAAAAGTTAAACTGGATCAAATACCCAGAAGGACCAAAGAGACGATGTCAACCAGGTAGCTGGGTAAAAAAATATGAGCAATAACACGGTCCCTGGTAACCTGGCCATAGGAATGTAATTTGGAAATACGATTCTTAGAAGTTAAGAATACAGGCTTTGGAATCAGACTAGGTTCAAATCCCAGTTCCACTGCTTCTTAGCTGTAGAACTTTGGGCAAAATACCACTTAATCTCTAAACCTCAGATTCCTTTTCTGTAAAATGGGGGAAATAAAATACACCTAAGGGTAGTTGTGAGAAGTACGTGAGACAATCCACATAAAGTGCTTAGAAAAATGTCTTGACATATAGCAAGCTATAAATATGGTTACTGGGCGCCTGGGTGGCTCAGATGGTTAAGCGTCTGCCTTCGGCTCGGGTCATGATCCCAGGGTCCTGGGATCGAGTCCCACATCAGGCTCCCTGCTCTTTGGGAGCCTGCTTCTCCCTCTGCCTCTCTCTCTCTGTCTCTCATGAATAAATAAATAAAATCTTTAAAAAAAAAAAAAATATGGTTACTGATAGAAACACTACCACAAATAGCTAACACAAGGGACTAGAGTTTGGTGGTGTTAATAGGACCTCTGAATAAACCACGCATGTCTCCACATGCTCCCGTCCCTGCTTTACAAGTAGCCCAGTAAACTACAGGAATTCTTCATACTCTCAAAGGGAAAAACAAAATAAAATTCCAGACTAGGGGTCAAAAAACCTGGGGTTCAAGTCCTGGCTCTGCCCAAAACTAGCTGTGAGAACTAGCTCGCAGGGGAAGTTATAACCCCTATAATCTTCACTTTTATTATTTGTCAGGGTTTAGCTTTAATGGGCTAATATATGTAAAACTATAGGCTAGGTGACTGAACTTCTCTCCTATATCCATGCTATTCTGATAAGTGTATCCAAAGACATGACCAGAATTAGGCAAGCTAACCCTGTGGAAAGAGTTTGAAAAAGTATTTGTCCTCAGGGAGAACTGTAAGCCCCACAAATAGTCTTTGGGTTTCTTAGGAAAGAAATTTTGTCTTCTGGGCGCCTGGGTGGCTCAGTTGGTTAAACGACTGCCTTCGGCTCAGGTCATGATCCTGGAGTCCTGGGATCGAGTCCCACATCGGGCTCCCTGCTCGGTGGGAAGCCTGCTTCTCCCTCTGACCCTCCCCCATCTCGTGCTCTCTCTGTCCCATTCTCTCTCTCAAATAAATAAATAAAATCTTTAAAAAAAAAAAAAAGAAATTTTGTCTTCTGCAGCCAATCCCAAAGCCAGCTCTCCTCCTTCCTTCGTTTTTATTATGAAATCAAAACCAATGTCACAAAGTGATGCTTCCCTTCAAAAGCAAGGATTAGCGGGCGCCTGGGTGGCTCAGTTGGTTAAGCGACTGCCTTCGGCTCAGGTCATGATCCTGGACTCCCTGGATCGAGTCCCGCATCGGGCTCCCTGCTCGGCAGGGAGTCTGCTTCTCCCGCTGACCCTCCCCCATCTCATGCTCTATCTCATTCTCTCTCAAATAAATGAATAAAATCTTTAAAAAAAAAAAAAAAAAAGCAAGGATTAGCAAAACTCTTCTATGTCATCCTAGGGATTTCAAATGGCTGTTTTATTTTTTTTTCTAAGATTTTATTTATTTATTTGACAGAGAAAGACAGAGCAAGAGAGGGAACACAAGCAGGGGGAGAGGGAGAGGGAGAAACAGACTTCCCGAGGAGCAGGGAGCCCGATCCCAGGACCCCGGGACCATGACCTGAGCCAAAGGCAGACGCTTAACGACTGAGCCACCCAGGCGCCCCTCAAATGGCTGTTTTAAAAAACACTGAGCCTCGCACTGAAGAATACCAATCAATAAAATATAGCACCTGTAACACCACAGAGCTGTACTACACAATGCTCAAGCCAACAAAGGTAGGTCTTCTAGATCCCTAAGAGGCATGTTTGCCTAAAATGGCATGTGCTCTAAAATTCAAAGCAATTATTCCTGTTCAACCATACAGACAGAAAACTGCCATCTTATTTTTAAATTAAAGGAATATATTTTGTCAATAGTTTTTCTCTGGCTTCTTATCACCAAGAATGCTAGTACCAGAGTCCAAGGTCTAAGCGCCTCATCCA